TGCAATCGCATATAGCGACCCATGTTCCAGCTGACGAACATGGACCATCGTGAGTATTCGTGGAGATATTGCATCTGCAACGAACCAGGCAAATGAAGATGACGCACAGAAAACGATAACGACAACACTGACATAAAGATCGTCGGTGGCGGCGGGGGAAATGCGGCAGCTCGAATCCTTCGCACATCCGAGATAAGCTTTGTCAGCGCGCACGAGGCAGGCCAGAACTCACCAGTTTCTTGCTGGTGGCGAGCTGGGAACTGTGGACTCTGGAATCCCAACTCTGGCAGCCGGAGCCCGGGCTCGGCTCAGGCAGATACATAGGACCTATTCTTCATCGCCGAACTTGGAATCCCATACTGTCCCGGCATAAGATATTCCACTTATTATTCCATAATTGCAAGCCATAAACCCTCAATCTTCGTATAGGTTATACCACCATATTCCCTTATTCCGTCCTGAACCCTAGTTCCCCTATTCCTTATACAAACCACCAGAAAAGTGCAGCTTTAGTGGGAGCTCACGCCGCGCCATCCCAAAGGGAATTCCGGAAGCCACGGTCTTGGTAGCTATTGTACCTGGATCTGATTCAGGGGCCATTCAGGGGGCTCTTAGAATGCCTTGAAAAAGACATTTAGGGTTTAAGGCGCAGGGGCCCTTCTTATGGGTTAGATGGGGAGTATATAGGGATTACGGTACATAATAATTAACGAACATTTCCGGGAATGGTCCAGGTACCTCTGGGCCGCTTCTTCTTTTAGAGGGGCAAAGCTTGTGGTAGTACGGCCCTTCTTTCCGCTCTGCGCATGCTTCTTGACAAGGCCCATCAATGACGTCATGGTGGGTGGCAATTTTTTCGCAGCTAGCACCACCTGCTCATCGGACGTGAATTTCTTGGCAGCAGACACCTCGGCTTCCTTCTCTGATGGGCACACTGACCCGAAGTACCTGGCTTTAGTACTCCAGCATGGGGCTTCCAAGTACGCCAGGAATCCGGAGTCTCTCTTGCCCGCCACATACCAATAGTCGTCACCGTTCTTCACATCACGACCGGTGTAGCGGGCCAAGAACGTGTGAACACCTGCTTTTGGATCCAACTTTTGGAATTTCATCCCTTCACTCTTTTGCACGTCTTCCTCGGTTGCCAAAATCTTTCGTTTTCCGCGTCTTGTCCGCTTGATCTTGTCTTCAGGCTTCGGTGGAGTCTGCACTTCGTGACTGTCGAGCTCCTGGCGGTCACGGCTTTCGAAGGCTGACAAGCGACACATTCTCACAGGCTCCAAAACTTCCGAAACCTGCTCCGAGCCACGAAACGCAACCCTTCCAGCTGGATGCCAAGTTTGATTGTCTTACTACGACATGGCGGTAAGTATCAACATGCAGCCATTGTCCAGGACCCAAATTAGCCAGATTGCACGCCAAGCTCGACATCATGTGAATTAGCACATCCGGCTCATACTGTTAGTGAAAATCACATGAATAAAATTTAAGATACCTGCGCAATCTGTGTTGGTTAGTCAGGGCAGCCTCGGAGAACTCGGGGCGCTGGCTGGGTGGTGTTAGCTGTTCGTCCGCGTCTTCAAACTCCTCCCTGCCATAGGTTTGAGAATCTTCTCCTTGCCAATCTCCTTCCCCGTCGTCATGCCAGGCCGGATCCTCCCACGCCTCCAAAGGCTCGTTCTGGCTGGGTGGTGCGAGCTGTTCGTCCGTGGCTTCAAACTCCTCCTTGCCATAAGATTGAAAATCTTCCCCTTGCCAATCTCCTTCCCCGTTGCCATTACTGCAGTGGTCCTGTTGCCAAGCCGGATCCTCCCATGCCTCCAGAGGTTCGTTCTTGGCTTCAGACTTTTCCTGGCCATATGTTAGAAGATCCTCCTCTTGCCAACCTCCTTCAGCATCACAAGCACCCCAGTCGTCTTCGTGCCAAACAAGCCCCTCCCAAGACGACTGCGAGGGTTCTTTCTTGAAATGCAGGGACGACTGCCAGGTGATCGCACTCCAGCTTTCTTCCGAGGGCTCTTCTTTAGTTAGCCAAGATCTGGCAGCACACATGAATGAGGACGCATAGGAGCACTACAAGTCAAAATTAGGAGACCCCTGCACTGTGCAGTCTTCACTGTTCGTAGTGCCAGTTAGCTAGCACCCTTCGGGATGCCAGGGGCTATGAACCCGGTTCGGTATGTCATGGCCGCTTGGGCCTGAAGAGCATTCGGTACGAGCATGCATGGATATGCTGCCATGCCCCAACACATGGGTTCAGCTGCTTTGCTGCAGGCATAAGTCAGATGAGTGCGGCCGTTTTCCCTATTGCACCAAAGCTTCTGAGAGCCAGGCAATTTGGACGGTGGACTCGATACGGAGTCCTGCGTTCAAACAACCAATAAGTTGCCGCCAAGCGTAAGTTCAACCCGAAGGCCACAGTGAGCCGATGAAGTAGTTTCCTGAAGGGTCATCAACAAAGCCCAATAGGCCGCATGGCAGACTGGCATGAGCTGAACGCTAGCAACATACCCCTGTCTCCGTGATTGACCAAGTTCCCGCTGAGGTAGACCCGTCCAGCAGGCATTTGCCACTGAAACTGTCCCGTGGGTTGCGATTGGGAGGAAATGCTATCTGCTTGTTTTCGGGTGATCTGCATCTTTTTGGCTATCTGCTGCTATTTAGACATGCTGGTGCCACTGACACATTGTGGATACCCGCAATAACCTCGATAACGTGAAACGGTATTGTTGTGGAAGTAAAAACATTGCCAATGGGCCAATTGTAACCGGAATTCCAATTATATCGTCGACGTGCATATACAAAAGAACACATTTTCTGCAGTTCAATATGGTTGAAAATGGAAGTGAAGACTATTGGATAGGTGTGTAGGGCAAAAGCGATTGCAGTTCAAATAGCAATAATGAAGACGATGATGACAACATGCCTTCCGAACTGCCATTAGTGGTACGATGTGATGGAAAATAAACACATGAACCATACGTTGTGTGTAGGATTCTACTGATCACTGAACATACTAAGCAACAGAAATACAGTAATGGTCCCGTCATGCTCGTCGATCTAGTTTGGGATCTCGTGGATGGCCATGGGAGCGGTGGCTCCCGGCTGATTCTTGTAGTCCTGCCGTTCCACAAAGTAGTTGTCGAGGGCTTTCATGCCGGATGCAGTGTTGTGATTGATGTTGTCAAGAACCCACCCCCAGTAGTGTTGGTCGACGTGTGCGTCCTCACACTTTCGCTGCTTGTAGCGTCCCATTTCCACTACCTTCTTGCTCTGGCCTTGGGCTGGCTTGTTGCGGATCGACAGGGAAAAACGTCGAAGATAGGAAAATAACAGGATTGCGTTCGAAACGCACAGTTTTCGTTGATCGTTCGATCCTTTCATCAAAATGACATTTTCACCTACTATAGGACGACACTAAGAAACAATAGCAGAACCATGGGAAATAAATAAGGAAACGAGTGGATGCTGTCCGAAATGAACCATTTTCTGAGATATTCGATTTTTGCATCGTAGGGCAGGAAGTCCTATCGACGTCATATTGAAATCCTGTCCTTGAAGAATCAGAATTCCTAAACATGTCTTTTTTCCAAAAAATATTCAATGTGTTTGTGTCTCTAGCTGGGTACTGCACGTCATACTAGTGTTGTTAGTGGCAAGGAACTGACGGCTGCGTCATCATTTGGGGCGACAGCGGCGACCAGGCCAGCGTTGTCAAAAGGCAACGCCAAAAACCTCCCAGATTCCAATCTGGGTGGATGTATCAGATTTAAATAGAGGTTGACAGTTTCGAGCAAGTCTCGGCAGTCGTGGACGAGCTGCAAGAGCAGGAGTCTGTGCTGGAGGCCTTTTCCATGCGCATTGCGAGTTCTGATGCAAGCAACGTTTGGTCTTTGAGCTAGACTCTAGCCTGGCACATTAAAGGTCGCCGACGACGACTCCGACACTGAGGATTCCGAATCTCGGCGACATAGGGGTTGACCAATTATGGCCCTTGGCAAAAGTGTTTGACACTCGCATAGCTTGCACTCGTCTTTCGAGAGGATAGTAAGTACCGAATCGTATGAAGGTGTGAAATCTGCCTGTCAATCAGAAGAACCGAGGTGACCTAGCTCTTTACGTAGTTCTTTTAGAGTGCAGCCTTGAGGCCCATTGCGAAGAGACCTCGAAGCCTAGTGCAAGTCTGTCATGCAATGTACGGGAGGCCTTCTGCTACCATACTTGTGAGCTGTGAGACACGTGGGAAACCTTGTGCTGCCACGATGTCCACGCAATGTTTACTCCGGCAATCGTTTGGCTCAAGGGGCCAAGATTTCAAAGAACTCGAGATTCATAGGACTAGCATACGTAATCTAGTTTTCCAGTTGACAGCCATTGTGTGTTGCCCCCTCTGCACAGATACTTCGTCTACCAGTGCGAGAGCGCGAAAAGTGGACCGAGGGTGCCTGCCTAGGGACCGACAGTCATCATCCAACAGTGGACGACGAACTACAACATAAAGCTCGGTGAGGTGAGCGAACATATCAGAACATCGGGACCAAACCCTCACGCACCCGTAGAGTCAAGTAGCAGATATCTCGCAGACTAATCGTCTTGCTGATTGATGTTCATGACTGACCCTGCGTACTGCAGGCGCCTTGAGCTCGAAGCAACAAAAGCGGTACCTAGTGTTTTGGTGAGGTCCTCACGCTCGACACGCCCGTTTCCCAAACAAGGGCTCCTCGTGAAATGAATCTGGTATTCGGGAGCTCACAGGCCGAAGCTGGTTAGCAGTGTTGCCCGCCATGTCCACAAACCGGACAGCACGCCACACGGGCTTCATGAAGATTGTTGTACATGCGCGGAAAATCTGAACACGCTTTTCCGCGTGCCTGCTTGCCAACGTTGGCGATCAATAAAACCCCAGAAAGGGGACCCTACTTTCAAAACTGGTGACCCGACGATAGGACCCACACGGTCGTACATCTTCCGATGCTTTAGCACAGATCCCGAACATGTGAAGACGAGACTGTCCCCGGCTGGTTTCCTCACGCCTGATTGCAAGACGAGGAGACAGACACAGAGGAGATGTCGGAGGAGGCTGCCTACCACGAGCCTCATGGAATTCTTTTATCCGAAAGATTTGGATTGATTGCGGCACGCTGTAAAGTAGACTTCAGATGCATACAGCTAGGCTTTGGGCTCGGCTAGGAGGTTTTTACTTTAGGGGTCTTGGGTTTTGGAATTAGGACCCAAGGTTTGGGGTTTTGCGTTTAGGGTTTAGGCTTCAGTACGGTTTAGGGTTTGGGGTTTTGGACTTACGCTTTGGGGTAAAAGGTTTGGGACTACGGGTTAGGGCTAAGGGTTTTGGATTTGGGGGTCAGGGCTTGGTGGTTTTGGATTTAGGATTTAGGGTTCAGGGGTTAAGGTTTTTTTTTTTCACACACACCTTTTTGCGGACGGTACAA